GCTACTTGTTATTTTGTTTACTTGAGAACAAGCAAAGAGTTAAGTGTGGGGGAGCTGTTTGTTGTGTTTTTGTATCGATTTTTGTTTTATTTATGTGTTTTGGTTTAGTATTTTTAGGTTCATTTTAGTGTCAACGGGTCTATTTTATCAAATTTTATATGTTTTTGTTTTCATATGTGTTCTTGTGTTTTGTCGTATTTTCGCGTCTCTTTTGATGTGTTGTTTAGGTCCAAATTGCAAATTCGGGAAGATGAGTTATTGTCTAAGTTACTTTGATGTCGAGTTATTTTGAGACGAACCAATCGACCCACTTATTCGAGCCATCACTCGAGAGACGAGTTCAAAAACCGCGCCTATGCACTCAGCCAGCCCGTGCACTCGCGGTGAAACAACTTTGGCGACCCGCGAGACGGCAGAGCAAGACCCCCTCGAGCACTCACTGCGAATCGTCTTTCGCGCCCCGCGAGATGATGCATGAGAGAAGGCCCATGCTAGGCACTCGCCGCGAGACTTCGTTCGCGACCTGCGAATGGCTCACTCCACACAAGCTTCAAGTGCACTCGCTGGCGAACCCACAGTCGAGACCCGCGAAGCGCATTCCGCGACAGCCAACCCCTACACTCGCCAGCAAACCCATGTTCGCGCCCCGCGAAGCGTGCGTCCCCAGCTCAAAAGCTAGCAACTCGCAGCGAACTCCCGTTGGTGACCCACGAGCTCCTGTTTCTGCACTAATGCATGCCCAAACTCACTGCGAACTCCGTTTCGAGACCAGCGAACTTAAGAATTTCATTAAATGTGTGTGTTTTTAGTGTGTGTTTGTTGTGTAGCTATATATAGACATTGAGCTTTGTATTTTTGGACATCACCCTCATTTCCCAACTTTTAAGTTCGGAAATCCTCTCTATTTTCTCTCTTTTATTTTTTATGCTTTGGTTAGAGACTCATGACTCGATTTTTTTTCCGGTGAAATTCCGGCAACTTTATTTTCGATCAAGATTCGAGTTTTACGTACTATTTCCGTCTACGCATGCGATAGGAGAGTAAGTACCTTGCTTAGGGCTAACTACTTCGATTCTTTTTTTTTTGATTTTGTGTTAATGCTCGATTCTAGGTTTTCTCTCTATTTTCATTGTTGGCTTTCGTGTGTTAGGATTCGATATGTGCTTATCTAGAAAGGTTTCGACTTTGTTCAAAGCGTGATGATTTAGTGTAGAAAGCTCGTGTTAGAATACCTAGGATCACTTTGCCCGCATGTTTCTCTTGTTTATTTTTCTTTTTCTTGAGTCATGGGGATTCTGGTAGACCAAAGTTTCGATCTTTCTCTCTCTATTTGCATTTTGCATTATTTGCTTTTAGATTCGTAGCTCAATTTCGAGCAATCAATCCCCATCAAGTGAGTAGAATGTTTAGGACCTTGTTTTCGGTTATGTGACTTTGACAACTAGGTAGCGAACGAAGCTCCGAACAGCCTTCCTTTGAGAATGACCCGAGTCGGGTAAATCGGTTACCACATGCCCAAAAATACCTGCTTACCATAGTCGGGTAAATCGATTACCACATGTTTACTCATCTTATGAGCTTGTGACGCTTCGAGTTTGCTATTGTTCCACTGTTATCACAGTAAACTGTGATTCCATGTGGCAAACTCGAAACCACATATAAGTCCAACAAGAAGTTCCTGAGCCATACTGCTTCTTCGTTTCCTCAGAGGCTGCGACGTACTTGACTTCTATGGTATAGTCTGCCACACATTTTTGTTTGACACTCATCCATACAATGGCTCCACCTCTCAAATTCAACACATAGATAGATTTACTTTTGTCTCGGTCTGACTAGACGTTGGAATTAGTGTAACCCACAAGGATCAATTGGTCTGATTGGTAGACCAACATAAAATCCTAGGTCCTCTTTAAGTACCTGGTATATGCTCCACCGCAGTCCAATGATCCTGTCCCGGGTTACTTTGATACCTGCTTACCATGCCTACCGCATAGCAAATATATGGTCTAGTACATAGCAAAGAATACATGAGACATTCTATTGTCGATGCATAAAGAACCTTTCTCATGTCCTCTATCTCTTGAGACATCTTTAGAGACATATCATTAGGAAGAGGAACTCCATGCTGAAAGGGTAGCAACCTTCTCTTGCAGTCTTGTATTCTAAAATGAGCCAATATAGTTGTTAGTGTGATAGCTTGGCTTTAGATAATATTACACTTTTACACTTTATGAATGAGAATCATGTTTGATTAAAAAAGTTCTATGTTATGTTATTTTACACTTAGATAAAATGGTTCATTAGTGGGTGAACATAACATCATCTTATCAATTACTTGCGAAATAAAAAATGTGGTTTACAACTTAAATGGAAATGAACACCCCACCCGAATGGGTGTAGTGTCAATGGTACAGTTGGTCTTGACTGATTAGTTGCACTAGTACATTTATGTATTGAACGGGATCCCAGAGTGGAGAAGTTCGTTTTTATACTGACCGTCGTAAACGAACTAGGCCTCGGTTAATTACTGCATTCTCTTAACCCGTAAGATATTAAACAGACATATATATGAAATACATATTACTTTGATTTACTTGGTTGAGATTCAGTTCGCTGGACTAATATTCTCACTGTCTTGGGTAATATTGCTGCATGTATGATGTGCTGTTAGGATATTTACGGTCACTATGTACATTTAGTTTGATGATGTCCCCGACGTGAGTTCATGAAGAATTGTTGTGCTAAACACTGCAGGTGGATTAAGTTCCGACATAATAATAATGTGAGAGCGCTAGCTTTCGTAATATAAATAATATATTAATTAATTCTTGATTGTCAGTAATCAAATTAATTAATGGGCATTATATCTTAAACATGGGGAGGTAATTCGGATAATTATTATTGCAGTCTTTGAATGAAATTTAGGATAGGAAAAAGGAATGCAATAATATTATGTTAGTGGACCGTAATATTATTTAAGGAATTCAAAGAGTGGGCTTGACCCACAGGTAGTCCATTAATTAAGAAGCCATAGTCCTATTCTCCTTAGGATCCCCACTGTAGCTCTATATATATACATCATTAAGTTCATGAGAAGATAACAAGATTGAAACACACGTGAAAACGTACGCCCTCTCTCTCTCTCTCTCTAGATCTCGTTCGAGCTTTATCTTCTTCTTGTTGCTCCACCAATACAATTTGAAGAGGTGTACGAGTGATACAGTAGAAGATCCCAAAGGTAATCTAGACATCGTGATCATCTACCGGAGCCGACGAATCTCAACCCGAAGGCCGAGACCCGCCGAAGTCGCGACCAGCCGACCGCCACCGGCTAGCCACCGCAACGTCCCAGCAAACCACCACACGCGACCCAATGTCGGTCGATCCCGTCATCCGTTCGATCCGACTTCCTCGTGTGCTGTTCCAGGTCATCCTAAATCCCTCAAATTCAGATAAAATTTTAAGCCGTAAGTTTCCTACTCAAACCATTAGTTCCGTTGTGCATAGATTTACGTTTGCTATTGAATTCGTGATTTACATAACGAGATCCTCATAAATCCCAACAAGTGGTATCAGAACACTTGGTTAATTCGTTTTGTTCAAAGTCCGAGTTTTTACGTCTTTATTTAACATGTTGTGTTCAAACGCAACCATATATATTAGATTATATTCGCATAACTTGGTTTTGCAGGAATTAGTTTAATACACTATTATGGCCGATTATGTGCTTGATGAATGTTGTTGAATGTGATGAATGGTTTAATTTGTTTTTAAAACCTCAGACATGTCGAAAATTTGATGGATGAATGTTTGTAATAATTATGAGCCCGGAGGTTGACCGGATAGATTTAATTATTTGTTTAGACAAACATGTGAATCCATTTGTTGGATATAGGATCGAATTATACAATTTCATATTATATTTTTCGT